TATGATAACACTATTTACCCATCACAATAAAACAATTTCAGGAGTATCAAACACAATACAACATTTCAGTTACAAAATAAAAGGCGCAGACATAAACAATCTCAATAACATCTGTTCCTTAATATAGTGTCTGACCCATGGGAACAGATGGTCTTTCTTTCAGTGGGGTCCCTGGGGGTGGGGCGAGAGACTGCTCACCCCACCCCTTCTCTGGGGTTTGCCCACCTCAAACATTTTCCACTCTGGGACCCAAGGGCCCAGTAACTCATGTTACCCCGGTTAGCTGGGTGGCTAACCCATGCAGCCTCTGCTGCTTCCTGGCTCCGCTTCCCTGCACCACCCTGCACACTGCGAGACCCAGCTGCTTACGGGGAGATGGAGCCTGAGCTGCTGCACTGTGGCTCCCAGGGCCCTTGCTCTGTGCGCCACTCTGCGCACTGAGTGACCTGCTGGTCCACTAGGGCTTCAGGCTTGAGCCACCGCTTGCAGCTTCCCAGAGCCTGGGCTCCATGCTCTGAACCGCGCACCGTAACACCTGGCCACCCACCGGCATTGCAGACTCAAACCGCCACTTGCGGCTCCCAAAGCCTGGACTCCGTATGCCAAACCATGCACCATGATGGGCCCAAGTGGTCTCACACCACTCCCAGGGCCAGGTCTTTATGCACTGTCCCCGTGTGCCATCAACAGCCCAAGTGGTCTCGCACCGCTCCCAAGTCTTCTCTTCCAGTAGTGGCTTCAGGCGTCTTGGGAGCGCGCTGGCGGAGGGCTCCCCGGCTTTTCTTGCTCCACATTTCTTAAGTCCCTCGCTACATTGCCCCTCGTGCCAGGCACACTGCTCTTTATATACTCTTCAGGGCAGTCTACAATCAGGTCCATGGAGCTCCTCTCCCCCTCCCCTCAGGAAAGGGGCATGGCTTCACTCCTCTTGCTGCCTTCTGATTGGTGGATGGACTCCACCAATCAAGCAGCAGACTCTCAAGCCTGGGACTCAACCCAAGCTATGAAAGGTAAGCCTGCTACACCTGTATAGCCTTTATCAGTCCTAAAAGGAAGCACTTAAACAGGGTAGACTATATCTACATCCGACTTCTCAAAAGGATGGTGGTGTTCAGAGTAAGGGCACTGCCTTACACACTAGATGCATTTGCTAGACTAGAAACTACTTTGTGGCAGAAGGAAAACAACTTCCAAAGCAATCAAGTCCTGATTCAATTAGAAGGAAATCAGTAACAGTAATAATTAAAAAAAAAAGAATGGTGAACTGACAATGGTGAAAAAGTGACATTTTTTGCCTTTTTACTTAATACATAACAAGGTTACAGACACTTTTTATTAAAGCAAGTTCTGATGCAACCTAAGACCTTTCTCAGCCTTTCACTGAAGACAAGGCGTGAACTGAGGAACTAACATTTTCTCCCAATCACTTATTGGACTGTCCAAGTTAATACATCTTAATTAAAACAAAAATCAAAGTTTGAAAGTAAACCAAAATTCAATTAATATTTTATTCACAAGTTAAGTTAAAAGACATGTTTCCCCTAGAAACAAATACACTTTTATCCATGGTCGCTAACCTTATAATCCTGACATTTCTTCCCTGTAGCTCACAAAGTGTTTAATAATACAAAAAGAAAGAAGGGATGAAATTCTGTCTTGTTTTTTAAAGAAGTCAGAATTAGGGGTTGAAAAAAGAAAAGAAAAGAAAAATAGGGACAAACATGCATGCGGCCTTCAATCTCTATCTTGTAGGAGTTATGTTCAGTGTTCATTTGATGTATTTTAATACTACCAAGATTTTCTATGGCACTTTTCATGAGTACATCTTAGTATTATGTTATAAGGGTCAATACCATTGCCTTCATTTTATAAATGGGAAAACAAAGGAACAGAATGGAAATGATATGCCAAAGGTCACCCAGTGGGGCACTGGAAAAGGGACATAACCTAGACCCCCACTGAAGGAGAGGATTCAGCTTTTTTTTT